GGGGAAGGATGTGGAAATCTGCAATTCCAAGTGCCAAGCAGCATTTGATCAGCTTTCATCCACACCAGCGGAGACAATGGCGGGGAAGCAGGCATGATACCCCATGCACAGAGGTGAAAATCAATTCTCAGTGTGAACTTAGGCCTCCCTCAGAGATGCCCAGGAAGTGCATCATTTATCATCTAAGGCAGAGGGTGCCTTCCATGAGACCTTGACGGCCAAAGCTGTCCCCTAATAGAGATAATTGATGTCACGCCAGACAGAGCATGGCAGGACAGGAATTAGCACTGGGTCTCTGGCTCCTGTCTGCTCCCTTCGCAGGACCCTGAAGGACTCCCCTGAGGATAAAAATCACCCTGGGTAATGAAGATGTCACTGCTCTGAGATAAGAGCTGTCCCCACTCACTGTTCCAGGTGACCTCATCCTGGGGGCCGCCTTTTGTTTTTGGACCTTTTCCTGCTTGTTTAGAGAGAGAAGACAAGCTGCAGATCCATTTATCAGGTTAATCATGTTCTTACAAATGTCAAATAGAATGAGAAAAGGCAATGGGGAGGCTGAATCAGGAATTGTTAAATGGTGGCAGCTGGCGTTCTTGAGGTGGGAGTCCGCCCTCTCCTGGGCCACTTCATTCTGGACACCCGACAGACCGCTCCATAAAACCGGAGCCTTCTCTTCTCTAAGCCAATGTCCTCCTTCACAAGCACACGGTGATGTCTGCCTTCCACCCTCCCTCTGAAGCCACCACAAGGCCCTCACCTCCCTCCCTTACTCACCTCCCGTTCCCCACACTCCACCCCTCCCTGCCTCACAGCCAACCAGGGCAGGGCAGAGGGCGCAGAGGAAATGGCTCTTGGGTGCCCACAGCCTTTGTTTCTCCAGGATGTGGTCACCCTGTGGGTTCATATCTTGCCTCTAGCTAGACAACTTTATGTCATGAAATATCAACTATCTCTGTGACAGACCTTCACTGTGTTGCCTGCGGGATTCTCTCTCTCTCTCTCTCTCTCTCTCTCTCTCTCTCTCTCTCAACCAACTGTGAAACTGTCACATTTATCCCATTAGATTTCCTCTTGCTGCTTCTCTATATCCCAACCTGCTGTGGTTTGGAGTGTTGGGCCTGACCCCTGGCACACAGCCTGCCTTGGTAGCTCTGAGCTATTTGCAGATTGGACAATATTGTCCTCATCCCTGTCACTGCTAAAGAGGAGACAAAGGGAATCTAGATGCATTTAGAGCTCACAGAAATGGAAGGAATGTGTTTCATCAGTACAGCACATGAGCAGCAACGGGATTCCTCAGATAACTACTGCAATAGGTTATGTGCCCAGTGCAATGGGAACCCATGTGGAAGTGTGTGACCATGTTTATGAAGAGAAGAGTGGACAACCTATAGAGGGAGGTGACACTTAAGTTCTGCACAAAGCAGTAATTAAAACTCGAAAAACATAAAAGCCGAATGTAGATATATTCTATGACCCAGCAAGTCCATTATCAAAAGTGCATGTTGAAGAGAAATACGGCCACCCAGAAGAATGGGCAAGAATGTTTCCAGCAACACTATTCACAAGAGCCCAAACTGGAAAACCCCCAAATGCCCATCAGTGGGAATGAATGATAAACTCAGGAACATTCTCATACCGGAATGAACCGCATAGAAGGTGAGTGGATCTTGAAGATATAAATCTGAGCAAAAAACAGACACAAAGATTACGTTCTATATTAATCTATTTATATAAAGTAAAAAAAAAATCAATCTGTTGTGTTGGAATCAGAACTATAATCAGTATAGGGAAGGGGCTAGTGACCTGAAGGAGCCAGGAGCAGGCTTGGAGAAAGCTATAGTGCTCAGTTACCGCATTTTATTGCTGAGCCACATCTCCATCCCTTTTTTGCTTTTTATTTTAACATAGGGTCTCAGTAAGAGGCTAAGGCTAGCCTCGAACTTGCAATCCTCCTGCCTCCCAAGTCGCTGGGATTACAGGCATGAGCAGGTTCAGTTTCTTAATCTGAATGCAGGATGCACTTTGTATTCAGTTTGTAAAAATGTGTAATATTTTATATTTTATATCTGTGCATTTAGAATGCATGCACATTTCTGTGTGGATATTGTCCTAACACCTCAAGGGAAAAAAAATGAGTATATCTATCATCTTAATTTGATTGAAGAGCTATAACAAAACACCACAAGATGGGTGGCGTATAAACAACACGAGCTTATTTCTCATAGTTCTGGAGGCTGGGAAGTTCAAGATCAAGATGCTAGCAGACTCCATGTCTGGTGAGGGCCTTCTCCTGGTTCACAGATGACTGTCTTTTGTTTGTCTCGCATGACAGAAAGGACAAGGGAGCTCTCTCAGACTCCTTTTGTGAAGACACTATCATGATCACCTTCTCCTTTTTAGGGAGTAGGGGTACTGGGGATCGAACCCAGGGCCCTTTACCACTGAGCTACATCCCCAGCCCTTTTTTATTCTTTATTTTAAGGCAGGGTCTTGCTTAGTTGCTGAAGCTGGCCTCGAACTTGCAATCCTTCTGTCTCCGTCTCCTGAGTCACTGGGATTACTGGTGTGCACAGCCAGGCCTGGCCCAAATGCCCGCCTAATACAACCACCTTGAGGGCTAGGATTTCAGCATATGAATTATAGGGGGACACAAACATTCAGACCATAGCAGCCGTTTAGACCACTATACGTCTAATATTCTATTAGACCTTTCTGTTATTTCTCTATCATTAGACCATGAGCTCCTATGGCAACAGAACAAGTTCAATAAGTGATTTTCCCACAAGGAAACCTGCTTGGGTACATTGATTCCACATGGGAGGTAGCGTCCTAACACTTTATTTGTGTGTAAGTGCTTTCAAAGCCAGAAATTACAATCCCCCTGGCTCTGGCCTCTCCATTCATATGAAGAAGCCAATGTCCCCATGTGAATTCCTGGCTGTTCATTTTCACAGACAGGATAGCCAGGTGGTACTGGAGCAGCTTGGCATTCTCTGCATATGTATCGGTTTTCTTGCCTCCTTGGCACTCCCAGAGCTCCTCCCTTCTTCTTGAGCATTCCCTCAATCTTCCACACTCCTCTTTGCCTCTGAGAACAGCCTTTGTTTACGAACAAGAGGAATCTGCAGCCTCATCAGCTCCAAACCAAACTCCCACCATTCTCTGGACAAAGCCCTGCTCAGAAAAGCAATAGAAAGTGAGGGTGAGAAGGCTGGAGATAATGGTGTCTAGTGGGACCAGCAGGGTGCACAGGACACCAAGTTCAGAATGAAGCCATGGGCCTGCTGGGGCTGCACTGCCTGCTTGGTGTCTGGCTGAGTGACTTGGGTCTATCTGGACCTGTAACCTTGAAGTGCAAAGGAGCTAGACTAGATGATTCTGGGTCCTTTCCAGCTCTGAACACATCAAGCAAGTCCTAATCATGATGCTAAGCATGTACATATTGAACAAAATTGCCAGGTATGGTTGCACACACCTGTAATTCCAGCAAATCAGGAGCTGAGGCAGGAGGATCACAAATTGGAGGCCTATCTGAGCAATTTAGCAAAACTCCGTCTGAAAATAAAATAAATAAATAAAAATAAAAAGGACTGGGGGTGTGTCTCAATGGTGAAGCAACACTGAGTTCAATCTCAAGTACCAATAATAATAATAATAATAATAATTTTACTGGCACCAGTTTCTGGGGGATGAACTATTAGATTTCTTTTTCCTTCTCCTCTGCATTTTGCAAATAAGGAAGGATGAGATGGATTACACTACCAATGAGTTTGTGTTTTATGTGTTCACAAACACAAAAAGCACATGACTCTAAAACAAAATAAAAACATCTCTTTAAGGGGAGAGATTGAAATAATTTTTAAAACTAAAAGCAGACAAGAAAGAAAGGCCCAGATGGAGGCCCCAAATCCATCTGGAGCTCAGAAGCTCTGCAGGGCAGCATTAGCTCGGAGGTTTCCCACCCCTAGGCTGCAGTCCTTGTAAACTCCTCTGGCGCCATCTGCTGACCATCCCAGAAACAACATTTTACTTTGATTTGCAGCAGAGCTTTGAAGGGAATGAGTCAATGGGGTCCATTCAGGATCAAGATTGCATTATATTTGCAGGCAAATGTTACCAAAATTCACTTTTGATTTTACCTTGCAGAAATGATCAGAACAGGGACATCTGAGCAAGTTCTTTCTGTATAACACCCTGAGATAGTCATTAAAATAACTGATCCTCATGCCACATAAAGCCCCAAGAAAGGTTCCAGCTCCCTTCCCCACTGTACCCGGCATCAAGCACTCCAGGGACCTCACTCTTGGTCCTCACCTTCTGTGTACAGGGTTGGTTTCCATCTGGCTCTAGCTCTACCTCCTGGGTTCCCACAGATGGGTAATTTGTTGGCCTTTGGGCTCAATTCAAGGATTCCTACATGGCCCCAAGCAACCCAAAGTGCTGGAAGTCCTCCTTTGTCCCTCCGCCCATTCATTAGTCTTGCTTTCCCACCTACCCTTTGAAAAATGAAGCTCCCTTTCCACACTTGTGGAACCTTCTTTCTGAACTGACCACAGGCACTGCTTGGAAGAGACCCCTCTGCTGTCAGAGGCTGGTCTGGTCTTTAGGGGAAGGACAGTAGACATGCCCCCTATGCTGAAGATATTTATGGAAAGCTTTTGGGATGCTCTACTACTAAGTTACATCCCCAGTCCTTTTTATTTTTTATTCTGAGACAGTTTCACTAAGTGGCCCAGACAGGGCTTGAACGTGCGATCCTCCTGCCTCAGCCTTCCTAGGGTCCACTGAGTTGAAAAAGCAAATTCCAGCTCTAAAGGCATCTCTCAGGTCTTGCTGAGCACCAAGATCTTCCCGTGTTTCCTATCAGTCCAGGGTAATGAGAAGGTCCATCCTTCTCAGGATGAAGGAGTGGCCCAGCAGCCCCTGATTGGTCCTACCAGGGAGGGAAGGGCTGCCATATTTGGAGGGCAGCAGAGAAGCCACCCCCCTCCCCACAGCTTCTATATAGCTGGGCGCGCCTGGCTGCTGGCCGGTGAGCTGGAGGACTGCATAGCTCCAGCCTGTGGCTCCAGAAGCACACTCAGAGCAGACATCCAAGGTACGTGGGGAGGCATTTCCGGGATCAGGGTTGCTCATTCTAATCCGATCTCTAACCCAGACTAAAATCTTGTAGTGACCTCTTTACTCCCTAATCCCAAGATGGGTCCCCAGTCAGGGGACACCTGTTCATTCATCACTGGCCTTGCATTTCTGTGCTTCGATGTTATAATAAAATGCTACTTTAGGGTTGGCTGGTTGAGATTTTGTTTTCTGCCTTTAAACCCTTGCCTATAAAAGCAAAGTTTTGTTGTTGTTGTTGTTTTGAGAACTCTTATTATATTATTTTTCTTATTTAAGATTTTTCCTACCAAGAGGTAGAAGCTGATGATGATGTGAGTGTGGCCCCCCTATTTAGGAGCCTAATTAATGCTTCTTCACACTGGGGATCTCTTTGGAGAAAGCCAGTCTGAGTTCACTGCGGTTAGTGGCAGAAAGGAATGGGTGCTCATGCAAGGATGGGTAGTGAAGGCACTTTGCAGAGATGAATGACTGGGTGAGCTCACAGGCTGCATTTTTCCTTTTACTTTTTCTTTTTTCTTTTTTTTTTTTAACAGAACCAGTGTCACACCAGAGTTGAAGTTTTAACAGAGGAGAATGAATCCCTTTAGGGTACTGTGGGAGTGGTAGAGGGTATGATAGGCGCTGTGCAAGCTTCCTCTGCCCCCTCCAGCTCTGACTCTCTGTGGACTCACTACTGTGAGTCCTAGAAGACAGCTCCGGCACGCCTCCTATAGGAACTCCTATAGGAACCCTCCCCTGTCCCTGGGTCACACGACAAAGGTCCAGGTGCCAGAATGCCCAGCCAGCTGGACTTGGGAGGTGGCTTTTCACAATAACTTGTAGTTTCAGAAGCCACATGTGACAAGCTACCAGGATTAGATCTGGAGTAGGGGGAATATTCTGACCTCAGCAGCCCCATGGATGCCCTGGGGCCACCTTGACCCAGGATCCCTGTGCTGTTCCCCCAGACCCTCCTAACCTCACCTTCAACTCATTTCCCTCAAAATTCCTCAAGAGCCAAGTTCTTCAGCTTACATCCTGCCCAACAGCATAAAACGTGAGCAACACCTCCCTCTTGAAGGGCAGTGGGGCACGGCTAGTGGCATGGGGAGTTAGCACCAGATGGAGCTAAGTTCAAATCTGCCACCTCTTACTGTGCAGCTTTGGGCCAATTCCTTTACTTCTCTGAATCCCAGAACAATTTTTTTCTCTTGGTAGTGGGAATTGAACCCAAACACTCATGGATGCTAGACAAGTGCTCTCCTACTGAGCTACATCCTCAGCCCTTTAAAACTTTTTTTTTCTTTTGTAATTTAGAGACAGCGTCTCACTAAGTTACCCAGGTTTGATTTGAATTTGTGACCCTCCTGCTTTAACTTCCCTAGTAGCTGGGATTATAGACATGCACCACTACAACTAGCTACTCATACTTTTATAAAATAAGAATAATAATGTAGCCATCCCATGTAAGGATTACCTTAGGCAATATCACAGAAGGGCTTAACAGTAGTGCAATAAAGCTAGAAGGATGATCAGGGGCACATTGTCCCCTGGGGTGAGATTGACAAAGATACGTCTAGTACATTTTCATCTCTTGACTTAGGGAGTGGCTGAGATGCCTTAACTATGTTTCTACCCTTCTCCTCCTCCTCCTCCTCCTCCTCCCCCTCCTCCTCTCATTACATAAAGCCTTTTAATATCAGCAACCCCAGATGTTCTTAGAATGGAGGCAGAATGTGCCTGAGACAGTGCAATTTAGAGCAATGGAGAATAAAGAAGTAAGATTAAAATTATAGTCTATGACCAGAAGCATTTGATTCCAACTATTTATTTATTTATTTATTTACTGCAGGGCACAATACCTTTATTTTATTTATTTATCTGTAGTACTGAGGATGGAACCCAGGGCCTCACATGCTAGGTGAGCACTCTACCACTGAGCCCACAAACCCAGCCCTGATTCCAACTCTTTTACCTGCCAGGGACCTCTTGATTCGAAAGTCTTGGAGATAACCAAAGAAACCCTATATGCCTTGCACCATAGCTCATTTATTTTCCCATGCATATTCAAAGGCTTTATAATTGCCAGTTGCAGCTTCTTATCTGCCTGAGAAAGTCAAGATCAACTCTATCCCTGAGCCGATAGAATTCCCAGCAAAAGCAAAGAAACCTGATATCTGAGTGGACTCTGTGCAGCCCAAGCATGGGAATATCATAGTGCTTCTGGGGAAATGTAAATGGTCCAAGGATGCCATTCATTTGCTTAAAATCTGCTGCTCCAGGCCTGGTGGCATATGCCTGTAATCCCAGCTACTCGGGAGGCCGAAGGAGGAGGGTCACAAGTTTGAGGCCAGCCTAGGCAACGTAGACCCTGTCTTAAATTTAAAAAAAAAAGAAAGAAAGAAAGGAAAGAAGAAAGGAAGGAAGGAAGAAAGAAAGAAAGAAAGAAAGAAAGAAAGAAAGAGCGGGCTGAGAGGGTATAACTTAGTGATAGTACCCCCTGGGTGCTATGCCAAAAAAAAAAAAAAAAAAAAAAAAAGTCTGCTGCACTTGGAAGAGTGGAGGGAAGGCTGGGAAGCCCAATGGGGAGAGTTAACTGCTCTGGCCATTTCTCCTGCAGATTCTGACACAATGAAGAAGCACCTGGGCACATGCGGGTTGGCTATTGTCTGCGTCCTGCTCTTCAACCATCTCTCCGCCATCAAGGCGAGGGGCATCAAGCACAGAATCAAGTGGAACCGGAAGTCTGTGCCCAGCACCGTCCAGATCACAGAAGCCCAGGTAGCCCAGAACCCCCCAGGAGCCTTCATCAAGCAAGGCCGAAAGCTCCACATCGACTTCGGAGCTGAGGGCAACAAGTACTACGAGGCCAACTACTGGCAGTTCCCCGACGGGATCTACTACGACGGCTGCTCCGAAGCCAACGTGACCAAGGAGGTGTTCATCGCCAAGTGCATCAATGCTACCCAGGCAGCAAACCAGGCCGAGTTTTCCCGGGAGAAACAGGACAATAAGCTTCACCAGCGGGTCCTGTGGCGGCTGATCAAAGAGCTCTGCTCAGTCAAGCACTGCGACTTCTGGTTGGAAGGGGGAGCCGGATTCCATCTTTCCGTGGACCAGCCATTGATGCTCTGCCTGCTGGTCTTCATTTGGCTCATCGTGAAATAATCCTGGAAGGAGACTGGTGGCCATAGAGGTGAGCCGGTGAGCAGACTATGGAGACAGGTACCCCAGTCCTCCCCCAACCCCACACCCTCATGTGTCTTGAAGGTACCAAAGAGAAGTGATTCATCAGCGCTTCAAATATCACTCCTAAGTGTTCACCTGTATTTGTATGGGATAAGCTTGTGTCTGTGTGTCCATTTTCCGCCTGCTCTGTGGCGGCTGGGGGCGTGTTTGGCTCATTATACATTCTCAGCTCCCAGTGGAGGGTCTGGTACACCACCTTAGGCAACTGGTGAATCAATCCAAGAATTCATCAGGAACTGTGCTCAGTACTTCACCATACCTCCCACAACTCTTTAAAGAGTTAGATGTTGTTCCTCTTTTACAGATGAGGAGACCAAAGCTCAAAGAAGTGAAGCTCACCCAGAGTCACAATGCTGGAAAGTGGCAGAGTCAGGAATCAACCATAGCCTGTCTAATCTCAGGTTTTCTGTGCTGTCCAATCCCACAGATGTCTCATGATCGCTTTGTGGTTTGCAAAGCCTAAATCCAACCTTGTTTCTCTAATGAAACTGTGAAAGCTCCACTTTTAGAAATAAATGGGAAAACCTGAGCCTGCCACTGTGAACTTTGATACATGGAAGTTTAGTTGAATCCTCCTACGGAAACTAAAATATAATAAAGGAATTAAACTAAAATAGAAATAAAAGTAAACAAAGGCCTACAAATCAGAAAATATTTCCTACCCAATTCCCAGAACAGACCAGTTTTATAGTAGGGTATGTATAACAGTTGTATAGTGTCTATACACAAAATGGGTAAGATTCTTTTTCACAAAAAGGGTAAGTGACTGCTGTTCCCATCCCTACAATAGTCTGTGCATTTACAAAAGAAAATGTTTAAATGACACATTTGCTTCTAATGTTTCCCCTAGTCTTAGGTGCATGTTCTTATGTAAACTCATATGAACATCTTTAAATACATTCCCTTTATTGGAGAGTGAAATTGACCAAAGTATGCTGTAACAAATGTGCCACAATGAGACCCACCATTCTATATAATTAATATGCACCAATAAAAATTTTAGTAAAAAAAATACGTATAGTCGGGTTCCCTGATACACACCTATAATCCCAGCAATACTGAAAGCTGAGTCAAGAAGATCACAAGTTCAAGGCTAGCCTAGGCAATTTAGGGAGACCCTGGCTCAAAATAAAAAATAAAAAGGGCAGGGGATGTGGCTCAGTGGTAGAGCACCTCTGGGTTCAATACCCAGTAACTCCCCCACACACACACACAAAAAAACCCTTACATATATGTAAATATGTCTACACACATACACACACACCCTTATATAATGCTTTCCACAATCTCTATTATTCTTTTTAACACTTTAGAAGGGCCATAATCTCTGTAAATTAATAATCACTATAAAATATCATTATTTGCCAAAAAAGGCTTTTTTAAAAACTATTTCTTTAGGGAGCCCCAATGAAGAACTCATATCCACCCTAAGCAAGAGTTGATGCACCTCCTTACTAGTTTAAAAAAATATGAATATCTTTTAAATAAAAAGTAATGAATCTAATGTTCCAAGATGCTCCCACAGGCCCTCTGGGGACTCTCAGAGAACTCTAGGAGTTGTTGAGCCATAACTGGAGATAACAGCTACTGAATATTATCAGTTCTCTTTTAAAGAACATCTGTAAGGGGAGGAACGTGCATCACCAGACAATTTATCTTGGGTTTTTCAGCACATGAGTGTTGAGAACGGTACTTCTTGTGCTGAGTCCCCACTGTTATCCGTTCTTCTCAAGGATACATTTGGGAGGTTTTTACATGAAATATGGGAGACAGACTTGCAGGGAGGGGAAGACCAGAGAAGCAAATCAGCGTTCTACCCGCTCTTTCAATCAGGACAGCCCTCTACTCAAATAATGCAGAGGAGCCAACCTGGGGTGCGGTTCCTGCTGCTGCTGGCTCCACTCACTTGCACCCATTCTAGATCCAGAGAGCAAGAAAAAAGCACAGAACACACAGAGGTTATTTCTTGCATTCCAATTTTTTTAACACTAACAGTGGCAATAAAGAAAGAAAAAGTAGAGGGATGTTGATGACCTTTGAACTCCCGGGTCCAATTTTAATTACAAGGGCACACACAGCCACTTTAGCAAATGACTCCATTTCTGATGGGAAAATGCTTGGGCTGTGAGGGAGTCTGTTCCCTGTGATGGTTGTCTTTTCTCATTTCATTAATGATCCCACAAATCAGATATAAGTGGTGCATGAAGTGCCTTGGTACATGGTGATTTGAATGTGAAATTTGCTTATGGAGTTTTGTAATGGGAACCATATGTACTTGAACGTCTTTGGACTTCCTGAGACTGGCTTTTCAATTTGGCCAAGGGTTATCAGGAGCCTCCGTGTGCATAAGACATTGTAGGCTTCTCAGTTATCCTCAGTTATTTTCCAACATGAATAATGTCACCAGCTATTGTTTTCTGGGTTCTTCCAGGTGTTGACTTTTTTAAAATATAAGCTTATCATAAAAGTGGCATTCAAATTACAACAGAAATCCAAAACAACAACAACAAAAAAATGACTACAACTCCAACTTCTAATTAAGCCAGTGTTTTTATGTCCCTTGTAATCTCCTACTCTAACCATTTGCATATAGAAATGTACATATTTGTGATACTGATATCCAGATGAACGTCCACCTTCTAAATTTTTACTTAACTTCACTCAATGCTTCTTTTTTTCAATATTCCTATGAGTTTTGTTTTCTCATTTCACCATCCCTAACCCCTCCTTATACCCTGGGGTGTAGCCTCCACCCCTTTTCTGTGCTCAGATATATAAGCAAGGATTTGTTTTTTGTCTCATGCCTTTCAAAAATACTATAACTGTACATATAGTTTTCATTTGTCTGAAATTTCCCTTCCTATCTTAACATGGCATCCTGATACTCTCTGGGTCAACAACTAACTGTTAGCAGGTTTAACCTGTCCTTTTAGATTGCTGTATAATCTTCTACACAACCGTGTACTGTGGCTGATTAAGTCATTTCCTTGTTGGTGAAGCTTCAGATTGTTTCCTGGTTTTCTGCCACTGCAAACAATAAATGTCCTAATGAATACAACCTGGCAGTCTGGTGCTTTTATTTATGCAGGATTGATTTACAGAATTTCTTGAACAAAGCCTGTGTGTAATTTGGACTTTACCAGACATGACCGCAATGTTTCCATATATTTGGAGAACTCCCATTTCCACCAGAAGCATATGGCATTAACTTGGAAGGGTTTCTACGTCATTTAAGTATAAGAAGCCACCTTTTCCACAGATACTGCTTGTGAATCTTGTTTTTAAAGGACACACCTAAAGCTTCCTAAGTTACTCTGATCCTAGTGGTCATTGGAAATATCCTAAAACTGTTAACATTCCTCATTCTAAAAGGAAAACATCTGAAGAGAAGCCTGCACATCAGACAGCATGTTGGCTTTCTGCTAAGAGGAGGGTGGGTCTGTACATCTCCATATTTCCCCAAAACCGAGGGGCCTAGGGGAAGGTTGGTCCCTGGCCTTTTGACAAATTTATAGTAAAATTGCACTTGCAAGTGTCTGCAGTTCAGTGAGAATGACTTCTAGATCAAGGCTCAAGGAAATGGGCATCAAGCCCACTATCAAGATAGCCCACATTCTCTTTGGAGGTTGGGTAGATGATCAGATCTCCCCAGACCCCCTCATGCCCCACTTGGCCTAGGCTGTGCCTGACGACATTGAGAAACTCCACCCTCTGGGTCTGTGTGGTATGTCCTGGGTAGTGGCCATACATTTGTCTTGAGCTGCCCACACACCGACCTTGAGCTGTCTAATAGCCAGTAACTGGCTTAGGGGAGTGGCCCATTGAGCCAGGACCCCAAGCTCTACTTCCTACCTGTGATGTGGTTACATCTCACTCTCAGCCCCCCACAATGCTTCTCCTCACTCCTTCTTCACGGCTGGACAGGGAGGCCCTAAGGTGCCCATCTGTTCCTGCATGGTACATTTTTCAGTCCTCTACTGAAACAATGACAATAGGACCCACATGGTTGCAGACAGGCAGCATGGTGGCAGGCCACACCCTCCGGGAGAGTGACTGTGTAAATTTGCACTGATGTGGCATCACGATGAGTTGCAGTGTCCCCTCCTGGATGCTCCGACACCACTGCATTGAAGAGCAGCCCTGTGGCCAGGTCAGACTCCGACCAGAGGTTTGCCCTCCTGACTCAAGCCATGAGTCACAGGCAAGCACAGGACTCGTCCTCCTCACTGCTGGCAGGAAACCCATTTCAGCTGGGCACCCAGATTCCCTGGTGGAAAGCAAAGGAGCCAAGTGCCATGCTTCTGGGAATGTGTGACCGTGGGAAATGGGAGCTAATCAGCTGCTCCCTGCACAATGGGAATAAACGTGTCTTTGAGACACCTCTATTTCAGGGCCATGCAAGGCCCGTCCTGAGATAACAAGACTCAGCTGTTTCCATTGGTGAAGGGGAGTCTTTGCCTGGGCTAGGGACTCTAGGGGGTCTCACCAGGGAGGACTGAGATCCTGCCCACTAGATACCAAAGCCCTGAGATCTCCTTCTCACAATGAGCGCCAGAACACAGGTAGAGGATGGAAGGGTGATTTGCTGGCATTGTGTGAGAAGTCTCCGGATGAAATAAACCCCACACGCTGACCTTCTGTCTAAAGGGACTTTCCCGGTCAGCACAAAAGCTAACCCCCACCCCCTGCAACTGCTCATCCTCTGATTCTTAAGAGTCATTGCCTCTCCCAGGTTTCCTTTCCTGCACCCTCGTCTGAATTTCAGAACCTCCATCCACCCTCCCACCACGGCCCATCCTTGGGATTTCCACATCTAATTTTAATGCTAACCCTTCTGTGGAAAAGCATTGCCCTCCTTAAACAATGCAGATTGTTTTAACTCCAGCAGGCTTGACCATGAACTGTGGAAGGAAATTGGCAGGAGGCCAGAGAGGAATTAGAGGAAGCTAGAAACAAGCAGGTCAGTCAGTCGGGGCCAGAGGAACTAACACAGCTGGCCTCACTGGATGGAGGGAGACGGGTGGGGCTGGGGGAAGGCTGGTGAGGGCAGGGGAAAAGCCATCCATGAATGCCCAGGGGAGAATTCAATGCTCAGGCTCATCTGAAGCAATGGAGCATCCAGCAGGGAAGGGCATTATGCCCTCGGGGGCTCAGTTCAGCACCAAGGAGAGGGGTTTCAAGGACAAAGCTGAGGAGAGGGTCCAAGTAGGGTCTGGAGCTGTGATAGCTGCATCAGTTGTGTTGAGCTAGAATTTCTGGCCTTAATCTCTAATTAAGGTTCGAATCTTTTTAACTGGCTGCTTTAACTCAGAGCTACTTAGCAATCAAGAACAAAATGGGGCTGGGGTTGTAGCTTGGTGGTAGAGGGCTTGTCAGGTGGGCATGAGGCCCTGGGTTCAACCCCCAGCACTGGAAAAAAAAATGGAGGAGTTTATGGCATCTCTTAAATGTCATTTATCCCTCCCTGTGCTTAAGCCAAATCATACCATCACCTCTGTTCTCCCAGGGTACAGGGGGAAATACAGAGGAGCAGGAGCTAAGGGTGGGTGGGTTTTCCTAGGTGTTTGGCCCCCTTCGAATAACTAAAGGCTAGTGGTCCCACCCACCCAACATTAACAGACTTTTCTAGAGTCATTGGCAGAAGAGCAGAATCAAAGAAGTTCCTCCTGGAATTTTGAACTTGGTGTGTTGTAAAATCCTGTGCCCTCTCAGCTGGAAGGATGCTGACCTGTGCAAACAGATGTTTCCAGAAATTCAACTGTTGGAGTCTCGCCAGTGAAGCTCCAACCTCCCTTGTATATCTGCTGGGCTTCATATCACATCTCAAGGCCATTAGCCCTCCTCTGCCTTGGCAGATGGTTTTTACTTAGAATTATAGGGTTGGGGGGTTTTTTTGTTGTTTTGTTTTTTGTTTTTTTAATGTTCAGCATTTCAGCTAATGTCCTTGATTGCCTCAGCAAAGGCATTCCTGGGTTCATCCATACCTTCAATCCACAAACATTTATTGAGTTCCTACTACATGCCCATCTACTCTGCTGGAGTTCTAATGGTGAGTGACAGAGGCACTGTCCTTATTTTCTGGGTGGCACCAGTTTTATGGTGTATCAGATGGTTTTTTACAATGATTCTGTCTCTTTCCCATCTCTCCACCAAGATACCCCCATCCATTCTTTCAGTCTCGCCCTGTCTGGAAACTTTTCTAGCTAATGCCCGGGTCTAGCACAGCACAGACACCACAAGGAACGGATCACTGTCACTGCCTTCAAGATGCTCACACCCGAGGGGGAAATGAATAATGATCATGTGGCATGCGAAAGTGCTGTGCTAGATCTGGGCAGAAGCAAGAAAGATTTCTACACAGGGCAAGTCTGAAAAGACAGATGGGGTGCCCAGGTAGAGAAATGAGAAGGAAAGAGTATCACTGTAAGAGAGAGAAAGGCAGGCAGGAAGGAAGGAAGGAAGGGAGGGAGGGAGGGAGGGAGGGAGGAAGGAAGGAAGGAAGGAAGGAAGGAAGGAAGGAAGGAAGGAAGGAAAGAAGGAAGGAAGGAAGGAAGGGCCCCTGGTGCATTCTGGGAGCTGAAAGTCATTCAGTGCAGCAGAGATAGGGTCGTGTATGGAGGAGAGCAATGCCTGGGTTGAGACTGGAGGAGAGCAGCGAGTTCAACAAAGAGCCCTTCCAATGCTCGCCAGTGTCCTCCAGGGAAGCAGGATATATATATATATATAACAGCAGAATACATTACAATTCTTATTACATATATAGAGCACAACTTTTCATATCTCTGGTTGTATACATAGGATATTCACACCAATTTGTGTCTTCATACATGTACTTTGGATAATAATAATCATCACATTCAACCATCATTAATTACCCCATGCCCTCTCCCTTCCCCTCCCACCCCTCTGCCCTATCTAGAGTTCGTCTATTCCTCCCAAGCTCCCTCTCCCTACCCCACTATGAGTCAGCCTCCTTATATCAAAGAAAACATTCAGTATTTGGTTTTTTGGGATTGGCTAACTTCACTTAGCATTATCTTCTCCAACTCCATCCATTTACCTGCAAATGCCATGATTTTATTCTCTTTTATTGCTGAGTAATTAGTTCCTGTCTAATGTCACTCAGTGCTATTGCACAGGAGAGTCACTTATTTTAGGCTGTTCATTTCAGTAGCTTTGTAGACGCCTATCCCTTGAATACATAATCAAAATGTCAAGGGTGATGGCTTATGTTTTCTAATTGAACACTACTGAATTTTTAAGGGGGAAATGTGTGCTTTAATGAGATTCACAAAAATCTTAGGATGTTTTGCCTTTGAGTGTCCACAGTCCACAGTGATGGGGACACATCAGACACTTGAAGGGCACTGAAGGGCTACTATGGAGCTTGAAGGGGCCACCTAGCTAGCCATTAGCTGAGACATTACAGATGAGAATTGGGAAGGGTACAGAAAAAACTGAGAGAATGAGACAGTGGGGACAGAGACTCCTATAAGAAGGAACAACATTTCAGAGGCTTAAAGGGATAGAAAAGGTGACGAGTTCTACAGGCCCTGCCCCAGCCTGGTACAAGCCCTATATAGACTGTGAGGGGGGAGTGGAGAAAAGTGAAATAGGGAGATCCTCAGAGAACAGAACACGACAAACCCTATGAAGAGGAACAAAATAAGCGCAGCTAAGTGCCAGGCCACTGGCCAGCCTCTAAGGAACAAAGCGTGACCAAGCCTCTCCGATGTGACGTCACCTGAGTCAGGCCTGGGGAATACAGTGATGGAGACCACAGGCAAGGACCTGTCTCCAGCATCTCAATGGCTGAGCAGACTTGATGAACTAGAGCCTTTAAAATTAATTCTCATGTAAAGGGATCTGGATATTAAAACAAGAGGTTTCCACCAAGTCCAAAGGTCAAGGGAAGACCTGTCCTGTGGAAATGACAATTGTGTTGAGACCTAAAGATCAAATGAGAGTGAGGCACATTAAAAATCCATTCTAGGGGCTGGGGATGTGGCTCAAGCGGTAGCGCGCTCGCCTGGCATGTGTGCGGCCCGGGTTCGATCC